GAGCTCTCCGTGTCGTCCGTGATGAGCTGGAACGCGCCGCTGCCGCTGCTTTGGGGGGTCGCCGGCACCCGTCGCTTGAACAGAGCCTCCGAGCTTTTCACCTACAAGGATTGTCTCCATCATTGTGGTGTCCAGGCATTCTGGATGGCACTGCAGCTGGGTGTAGTCGGTTTTACTATATATATATATATATTTGTATGAAGCCAAAGACGGCAGCAGGTTTCCAAAATATTGGAATATCAAAACTCTTGACATGGAAGGAAATATGATATAGATACATATATGTTTGGAGCAAAAACTGCATATATATATAATATATTGGATATCAAAACAAAGAACACAACATATGTATATATATATATGTTTGGCGCCAAAGACGACAGTTTCCAATATATATATATATATATATATATATATGGAGCCAAAAGATTTGGGGGAAATGAAAGAACATACGATATATATATATATATATATATATATATATATATTTACCATGGCCTCACGCTCTTTGCTGTATGCTTCACGCCGCATGCGGTCGTTGTTTTGCACACTTCCCGTTTGGACTTGAATGCGTTTCTTCAGATCCACGTCTTCTTTCAGAGAGATGGGCGTGCTCTTGATGCGGTCGTAAATGCCGCCTATGTACATATATATATATATATATATATATATATAGGTATTTCACGAAAACACGAAATTAATATATATATATTTGAGACCGAGAAATTCAGGGGCCAAGTCTTCGCCGTTATTGATCCCGCGGTTGTTGCGAACAAAGCCTTCCTTGGACATGCGTTTTTCTTCGGGAATCGACGGGTTGTGCAAGTCCTGTATGGGTATAATATATTTATATAAATATATATATACGATGAAAAATATAGATGAAATTTTTACATATATACATGAGGTTATCTACTCCGAATAGTGTTCAACATGGACAAATTCTTACCGTTTGAAGCATGATCACCGAAAACGACAAGATGAACGCCGTGTCCGCCGACGGAAAGATACCCGGGTTTTGAAAACAATATCTACGCATGTTAAATAGGTGAGAATATACCGTGAAATAGATGAAAAACAAACGAAAATAGATGAAAAACCATGAAATAAGCGAGCACAACACATGCTGACTAGAGAATTCTTAATACCACAGAGTCAACATACCGTTCCGCGAACTTTTCCATCATGCGGTCAATCTTTTGCGATTCCCCTGGCAACCGAAACCCAGCCAGGAAGTGCCGAATCGCTTCGTCCACTTGAAGCCCCCTACATATGACGGACGACGCATTATATATTTTATTTATATATTATTCAGTCAAAATGACTCAAGAACACTACATTCGCAAGAAAAGAAATACAAAAAAGTACAAAATAATATTGAACAAATCACGATTATTTAAATAATATTCTATCACGATGCACCATGTAGAGGCCGTATGCATGCATGCCTAGAAACACCCCAAACACCCCCAATAGAATAGATCCCTGAGAAATGTCATACTTAGTAAATGTCCACAGATATTCATGAGTTTCACACTTTCCAAATGTCTACCCCGACCCCGACTGAACGATCAAACGTACGTGTAGTCCATCATGTCGACGAATTCATGCAGCACCTTGAGGCAAAACCCATTTTGGTACTGCACTTCCTTGCCCAGGTAGTCCCCCACCTATGAAACAACACATCAACCCGTCATTAATATATATATATATATATGCTTATATTAATACATATATATTAATATATATATATAAATATATACTAATATATATATATATATTTGCTTATATTGATATATATATATATATATATATATTTGCTTATATTGATATATATATACATATTTGCAATGCAATTCTTAAACATCAACCCGTCATATATATATATATATATATATAAATTATTACACATCACCAATTCAGAGATATTTACATGTATGTTGTTTGCAAAACCATTATTCAACCCCACCCACCCACCCGACAGATATATATATTTGCATATACCATTGTTCGGCATCACCGTGATTAATATATATGCAAAAACTCCTCGTAATAACAATAATAGTACCATCGTCTTATCGAGTCGGTTGCTCTGATCGTGCAGAAACTTGGCGACGTGGCGAGGGGTGTTTTCCATGTACTTTTTCGCGACGAGGAACTTGACGCCATCCGTGGGCTTCAAATTGAACTTCAAAATGCCCTCGGCCAGCTCCTCCTGCAGCCGCTTCTTCTTATCGAACGCTTCCACGGCACTCATGCCAAAAGGCTGCTTGGCCACGACCGTCACGTCCTCCGCCACGTCGTCGTCGGCCCCGTCGTCGTCATCTTCCTGGAGCATTTTGTCCATCTTGCGCTTTTCGTCGGTGAAATTCGCTACTTTCTTCAACGACCCCACCACCGCCGTCAAGCATTCGAGGCCTACACAAATCACATATTTATAATAGGATATATATATATATAGTATATAGTAGCAAATACAGTTGTCGCAAAAAGGTTGGCAATCAGACAGTAATACACAAAGACGAGGGAGGGTACTGAACATTGTATAGGTTGTACAAGGGAGGATATACCGTAGTAGTAGGCCTCGTCAAACCATATGGCCTAATTTACTCCAAGCACCAAATTTGGGGTAAAAGAAACCAATATACAATCGATGATATATCGACCAATCAAAACACCCACAACACGAATCAAGTAGCCAATCAAATTACATCCACTCTTGGACCAAATATCCAACATCGACTTTGTGTAATTGAAAATGAGTGTGCAAACATATTGTGCTTTCGAGTGAAATTTCATTGTGGTGTGGTGTGGTTTCTCGTTGGAATTTAAATCGATTTGATTGGCTACTTCAGAAAAGTTCAAAATTATTAGCCAATCAAAACCCATTTCTCAATGAAATTCAACCAATCAGATCGATTTCGGATTGGTTTGGTCGGCGCGATTCGATTGCACCCCCTCCCCAAATTTGTATATCAAATCTACAATACAAAGAATCGATCGATGTATTTGGCGAATCATAGCACAAAGCACCAAAGTGTGGGGGAAATGAAACACCATTTCGTGTATTGTGCTTTCGAGTGAAATTGCATTGTGTTGTGGTTTCTCGTTGGAATTTAAATCGATTTGATTGGCTACCTCAAAATTATTAGCCAATCAAAACCCATTTCTCAATGAAATTCAACCAATCAGATCGATTGTGGATCGGTTTCGTCATTCAAATTTGTACTATCAAATCGACAATACCTTTGACGACAAGTGCCGTGTCCTGAACTTTGCTGGCTTGTTTCGCTGCGTTAGACGACGTGGGTTGGGTCGACTCGAAGCTTTTCTTGCCGCCCTTGGCGATTTTGCTGATGGCGTCCACAATTCTCTTGAACAAGTCCATCGAGTTCCAATCGCAATCGTAATTTAAAAAGATCTCTCCAAGGATAGATCCATCGAGGCAGATCTGCTTGAGCACTTCGAGCACGAGCAGTTTGTGCTCCAAGCTCGAGTTGTCGCTTTCCAGTAAGCCCAAAAATATGTGCGTGATAAATACTTCCATTTCGCTCTTCAGGTGGGCTTTGAACTGGGCAATTAGCACCACAAACACACGCAGACTCAGCTCCACGATCTGCGTGTAGTTGCTCGTGCAGTTCTGGAGCAACGACACGCACAGGTACTGCTTGATCAGCGTCACGAAGCGGTCCCGAAATGTCGGCCCGCCGCCGTTTAAAATGGACAGCAAGAGATCCAACGAGACCAACTTGCTCTGAAATGCAAACGGGTCGTCGCTCCCTTGCGGGGGACCGGCGGAGGTCGTCGCCGCCGACGACGACGAGGATGTCATGGCCGTCGCCGCCGCCGCCGAATCTTCGGCCAGCGACCGCATCGAGATGCGACATAGGGACCGGAACAGCAGGAATGCATCCTTGTGGTACAAGGAAGGAAATGTCGAGGGTGCATGCGATGTCGATGTAGGTGCAGATGTCGTCGTCGTGGTAGGTGCAGGAGAAGAAGAAGGATCGACGTCGTCCGAGACCAAGTCGGCTGTGCTCGAATTCGCCAAACGAGTGTGCACCCGGTGCAGCACCGCGGCATGGAGGTGCAAGGTCCGCGCCACGTCTACGTACGTATACTACCCGTCAGGAGACGCATTTACGAAAACACAAAGTACATATAGACAATAGTCCTATTAGCTGAAACGAGTTTGTTATCATATAAATATATAGAATTCCTGTGATCTTTGAAATTGTAGACAAAAATTCAAAGTGTCGAAGAGATATTCGGATATATGAACGAGACCACTATTGTACAGTTTATATATATATATATAAACTGTATATATATATATAAACTGTATATATATATATATATATATATATATTTGTTCGGAAATATGGATACTGTACGATGACGTTCAAATGTAATATATATATATATATATTAGTTCCAAAACGATGGAAATGATTGCTTATTATGGCGTTAATAAAGTATAATGACGAGACAATATGTTAAATAACACAACATATATACATAAACAACCCAACCATTCAAATCAACAAATAACCATGCTAAATGCGTACCAGGGTACATGGCGTGGTCGGACTCGGCCTTTTCCGCGGCATCCACGCCGTCGGCGGCATCGTCGGGGAGGCTGTGGTTGGAATCTTCACGCGCCTCCACGGACGCGACAGCTTCAGGCGGCGGCGGGACGGCGGCGACGTCGTTCACATGCAAGGTCTCCTCCATGTGCTCCATGCGCTGGAACACGACGTTCACCATTTGCTGGAGGGTTGCCTTCGCCACGGTCTGGTTCATCGTGTTCTTGCTCACCAGATGAATATGGTAGCAAGCGCGGACCGACTTGAGCAGGCTGTGCTCGTGGACTTCGCATGTTCGACTGGTCACGGCTTGGAGCACAGCTTTTAGCACCTGGAGCTGCACTTCCTCGTCGTGGTGGTCGTTACAGCTGCAAATGCACGTGACAATCGCGTCCATGAGCGTCACTTTGGCCGCGTCCTCGTCCTTTTCCTTCAGCGGGAGCTTGGCCATCGTCGCGGCATCCACGGGGCCAGCGCCACGGAGGTACCCATACGAAATGAGCTTCTCAATGCAGTCCAGCGCTTGCGACGCTTGCTTGGGCTGTCTGCCGAGGATGGCAAGGCAGAGTGGGTAGAATATCTCCGCCTCGTCCGGGCGCGCCGTTTTCCCAGCGATCTTCGCCAAGACACCGTCGAGGGCATCTCGCAACTCCTTTTGCGCCCTCCCCGTCAACTTGCGGATCTTCGAATACGACCTTTCCACCAACGTCTCCATGATGATGCTGCGCTGAAAATATCTGGGGTGGTGTTGTTGTGCGCTTGTTGGGGTGGGGTCGTTTCAGATGAAAACCTGTGATACTTCATATTGTTTAGATCGAAATATACAGGTTTTGCATCAGTCGGCGCCAGAACAAACGATGAGAAAGATCAGAGTACTTCCATGGCCTCCTTCATGAGGCGCTGCTGCTGTCGTGGCTGCTGCATGTACACATACCTTCCAATGTACTAGCTGCGTGAGCGCTAGCGCGCTGCAATTTCTGTAGCGACCTCGTCAACGTCCTAGCACCACCTATGACCTTCCAACGTCGCTGCAGCGCTGCGCAGTTCGGGGACTCAACTTGGCGATAGCCATTGTGGCTACCAGCACGCCCACACTTGGCTCCTTGTAATCCTCGCCCCTCTACACGCCGCCGGTAGACCGAAGTGCCATATTGGCACACCACATATATCATGTCGACCTTGAACTAGTCGCTTGAATTCACAACCATTTCAAAATCGACTCGACAACTACAGTACATCATCCCTTAACACGATCCTACTACCAGCACAACTATGTCTTAGCAAACTCGAGGGCTTTAGCAAGTGCGCATTGAAGGGATCGCTCCATGTGCTCGACCGTTTGAGCACATTCGGACGTCGGGGAGGTCCGCGCGATGGCCGCCCACGCTTGGACTTGCGGCAGCAGCGACTTTCGAACCTCGGCGGCTTGTTCCTGCAGAGTTGTCCGCAAGAGGTGAATGTCGTGGGTGTCAATTATGTCTGGAATGGGAATGCTGATCGAGTACGCGGCGCTGCCGAGGCCGCAGGACGCGATGATCTCTGGAAGCGGTATCGCCGCCACGGACGGCATCACATCTTCCCATCCATCGCCATTGTCGTCGTCGTCGTAGAGCAAAGGAGCGGGGCGAACGAGGGCGGCAAAGCAGTCCTCGACTGTCGGCACGAGAAGCCCGCACGTGTGCTGCATGCTGTCCACGTGCGCGAGAATGGCGGCGCCGTGCATATCCACTTCACGCTGCATGTGATCGAATTGCATGGCCAACATGCGCGTGTCCGTTCGAGTCGTCGTGGCATGTACATGCATGTTGTGGTCGTGCTACGAAGAAATATGGATTATGTCGGTGGGTTGGTTGGGTTTTCATGGTATCCAACGTTACTGTACCGTCGCGAGCATTTCCGTCCACTTGGATGGAATGGCACTGACGGCGGCGCGCAGTTGCGGCATGCTTCCCCCGAACTTGACGTCCCAAGCGCGGAAAAGACGGAGGATATCAATGTTGTAAAGCTGTTTGACGTGCAAGACGCGGCAGATCGGGTGCAGCTGTCCCACGAGCTCGATGCGAAACGCCTTTGATCGGTCGAACAAGCATTCCCATATTCGGTGGATCTGGAACACGGTTCAGAGAATTGCGCATGGCTGAGAGGATAAGTCGTACGTTGCACACAGCGGGATCGTTCAACGAGAGCGCGTGGAGAATAGCGGAAACCGCCTTCCGACACGAGGCAACTGGATTCGCCGCGTACCGAATGCCGCTCTTGACAAGGTTCACGGCCTCTTCCGGTGTCAAGGCATTGTCGTCTTGGTCGCGATCACACTGACCACCTCGCTTCCTCTTCATCGGTCGTCGTCGTTTCGTCGGCAGAAGAAGCATAGTTAGTCCTTTGTCCAGCGCCGACGCCGCATCGTCGCTGTCCATCATGATGTTCTTGGAATGGCGGTAACTGGCAAAAAAGACCAACGTTCCGAGAGTGAAGTCATTTATTTCGAAAGAATAGGAATGCGTCATTTATTATATTTGACAAAATATAAATGAATGCTTCTTTATTTCAAATATCCGGATGTGAAGGTAAATTTTCGACATTTTCTGGATTAGTCGGCGTTAAGGTCATATATGTACCACGTACTTCGAAGTACTACGTAGTAGTAATACTGTACCTCAGGTCCATAGGTAGTAAGTACTGTACTTCATGAGCAAGTTTGCTGGATAATAGGTACACCAGCACTACCTACTACTGTACAGTACTTGCATGCCCGACTCAGACACCACCTCCTATCACACGAAACCAATTGAAATCACTTTACAACCAAACTCACGTTGCCCCTCTCAAATCGATCCACGTGCTTCAACGTACATATGTTATCTTGTCAACAAATCCGATAGAAGATTCTATATCCATAGAAAATTTACATACTGTACGCCGCCAGACGCCGAAAAACGGTCAATAAATCTGGATACTGTTCAGCCAAGACGGAAAAGTTGTTTCCAGCCCAACCCCCCCCATCCCCCTTCTCCAAGCTATGTACAGTACTACTGTAGTATACTAGTACAGTACATACCTCATTAACAAACACCATTGCCGAGTCCACCTTGTATGGTCATATTGTACACGACAAGCTTCGTATCGCCAATACCACGAACAAGGACATGAAGGATGTATCACCTCGTACAACATGACTACACATCACCAGCAATACCGGGTAATTGTTGTTGGCGGTTTTCGTGGCTACCGGTAGTGCTTGTGCCTCGACGCATTTGTATATGTTTGAAATGTCCATTCGTTCTCGGCAGTCCAACGAGACTCACAAGGCCCCCCAGTCCCCAAGACTACAGGGCTCGAGTGCGATGTACTAGTAAGCTTGACGAGTGCAATAAAGCAACCAAGGGACGGATTCTGTCTGGGGGCATGGGGGCTGCAAATGTGTGACCGCGGGGGGGGCACCACACGAGTGTTGGGGGGTTTGGTGTGTTCGAGATGCCATTTGTCTGAGTGGACGAACTCTATCTCGGACGCAGCAACATGTGCACATTGACAGTGTTTATAGTATTCCATGTGTGTGTGCCTTGTTGGGAGTCTCCTTTGACCATAACACCTCTGAATATCATCGAAGTAGAACTGTATTGGATTCGTTGTACAGAATTTCCTATGTGTCTTCTTACAACGAGACTACCCCGAAGCCCCTGTACAAACGTTTATAGTTTACATCATTACAACTGCATGTAAAAAAAGCCACTTGTATCGTCGCACGGACCGCCTTCACAAAAAGTGAAGTTGATGTACAGTAACGTTATTGTGAATTAATTCGCTATAAACGTCCAAAATTCGCGTGGTTTGTCGAATCAATTTGGAATCACGCTGGAGTTCTGATTGGTTGAATATACACTTGTCTTTTCTGTAAAGGCCAATCAAATCCACTCAAAATTGGATTAGCCAATCGCGTCGATTCGTGAATCGATTATTCGGCGGCGCGATATTCGATTCAACCACGGGGTTTGGAAATTCGTATCGAATTCCCAATATTATTATATATATATTCTACTCTAAAAGTCGAAAGTCGTCAAACTGACCCCTTGCAAACGCGAATCTCTTGATCCGTTGAAAAGATCGTGGCTCAAATTATATATTCGACCACGATAATAAACCATATCGAATAAATATTAGTACACGTGACATATCATCGGTAGTACTATATCTACTAGGACTTTGGCCGGTCGCGCTTGGTTTCGCAGATTGCGTGAAACCTATGGCGAAAGTACGCGAGTTCGAGGTCTCCCACCAGTTGCTTCCTTGCATACGTTTCGTCCAGACTGGCCCATGCCCCCACCAGCACCTATAATTCCAATATGATATATATATAATCTTTTTTTCATCATTCACACATGTGGGGACGCACCATAAACATTGGCGCGTCCAGGAACTCTGGCGCTTCATCCTGCCGAAGCAAATGCATGATGTCATGCACTGCATTGGTGAAGAACGACTTCTCCATGCCGTCGGTGGACATAACCATGGTATCATGCAGTTCCTTGGCGAGGGGCAGCGGCGCCTTGGCCGTGGCTTTATTGATGTACTTGTCAACGATCTTCTTGGCGTTGCGCAAGACGATTTGCGACGACGGCAGCCGTCGAAACTCTTCGACCTACCAAGTATTTATATATATATATCCTGCACAGCCACAAACATTCGCACACGTACTTCTTCGAGAAAAATGAGATTCTCGGCCGCGTGCTGGGACGCGAGGTACTTTTTGAAATTCGACATGTATTTGGGATGCCCGAGGACTGAATCAAGGTGCGGCAGCTCCAGCTTGCCGCTATTCCTCGCTGCTGTCATGTCTCGCACAAGTTGCGGAATCTCCAAGTCGGTCTGGAGTTCGTCGTGGATGGGTGACGACAAGTACCGTAGCAACGAGTCTTGGAGCAGTCCTACGCACATCGTTTTGCAGCAACTGTGTCAGCAACGTGGAAGGAAAGAAAAATCACTTTCATATATTTGTGATTTTAGGAAAATACTCTATAAATCAATCACTTTCATATATTTGTGATTTTAGGAAAAATACTCTATAAATCACTTTCATACCTGTTTTGACCTTGACGATCGCCGGTTTGAACATGTCCATGGTAGGCATCACGAGCTTGTCTTCAATGTCTTGGCGCATCTTTGTGCTCATGTCCACTTGTAATCGGGCGTTGTCACTGAGGTACTTTTTATACAATTTTTTCGCCGTGTGCTGCATGTACTCGATGCCTGGCAAGTTGGTGTACTCTTCCACCTGAAGCAGCACAATCAACATGGAAGGTAAACAGCTATATATATATATATGTAGCTGCTTCTATAAATATATTTATGCAGATAAGGAAACAGTTGTAAAAGGTAACGGCCAAAGCAACAAGTCATCAAGACCATACCATATTCACGTCAAGTAGTGCAGACACTTTGCGTCATCGATGAACGATCAAGAGGGATCATTGAATCATTAAAAACCAGTAAACATGATACAAATAAATATATATCTACATAAGTAAACATATATATATATATATAATTAAATATATATAGTATACATATACTAGTATGTAGAAGTAAACATATACTAGTATATATAAATAAACATATACTAGTATATACAAGTAAATATATATATAAAAATACAAGTAAACATATACTAGTATATATAAGTAAACATATATACATATATATATATACATATATAATATAGGCGGACACAGATTTATTTCCTTTAAAAGCCAACGGGGAAATCAACACGTCACGAACCCGACGAGGGTGCTTACATCGTCAATGAACGCCACATAGTGGTCTTTTCCGCGAATTTGGAGAAATCGCTTGAACACGCGGTGGCCGATCTTGTCCTGGAGCAAAAGCAAGGCAGTGTCGTGCTGGATCGTGTGGGCTTTGGCAATGTTGGCCATCAAGCTCGTGGGCAGTTCCATGGCTTTTTGAAGAAAGCTACACACGGTATGATCAAATATATACAGTATATATATATATATATATAACGTAACACAAAATATATGAAAAAAACATTTGATGATCGTATAATAAAACAACGAAACTGAAACATCGATATTTATATATATATATATATATCGATGTTTCAATCTATATATATATATATCAGTCAGGTTATTGACGCCAACATGTCCGTTTCTGACAATATATCACTGAAGTACATACATGGACGAACTCGTGGCGTCCAAGTTACTCAAAAGCGCGTCAATTTCCGAGGCCGACACGATCGGCACATATGACTCGAGTTCGTCGTCGTCCAGTGAACTCTCTTGGATGTAATGCACGTACGTCCCCGACGCGCTACAACATCATTGGAACGGTGTCCCACTTAAAATGGACAAGTATGCGGCACTACCTAAACTTAGGCCACACGTCGGCTTTGATGGCTTCCATGGCCACGTATTGCGAGTCGACAAACATGGTGGGATCGATTTCGTTGCGGTCGAGTTTTTGAATCAAGTCCATGTGGATGGACTGGCGCAGGTGGATGTGCATCTTGGCGCCGTGGCGGATGTACGTGTCGATGATCTTCCTGGCTCGGGCTTGGACAAACGACTGGTTGGGAAGGCGCTTGGCGTCTTCCACGTCCAAGTGGAACATGAGGTTCTCCAGCGTCATGTTTTCCACGCAGTAGCTCTTAAAGTACCGCAGCTTGACTTCGTTGGTCAGCACGCTCTGAAACGACTCGCGCATTTCTTTCGAGCTACCGCGCAAACCATGTCATGACGACGACGACGACGACGGAACGATGTGCGCAATTTATATTTGTCCCATCGATATATTCGAAAAAAGAAGTGCACCTTGAGAAAAAAAACAAATTCAAGAACCGTCTAAACCAATCAAATCACAAGTTCTGTCGAATTTCTGCCAATCCAAACTTCCGCCCAGTCCAAAAAACACGTACTAGACTAACAGTAAGGATAGTTGTAAAAGCTTAAGTTTGATCAAACGACTACCTGGTGAAAAATGACTCCAAAGTCCAGATTTGGGTGAAAAGCACAATATATATGTACCGGAGTTGGGGGGCGTGCAACGCGCCGAGGGCCGTGGACAACTTGGAAAGCGGCTTTTCTTCCAGGGCCACGAGCATTTCACTGTACAACTTATGCCTTCGAAAGCGTGGAAACACATCCTTTTCCAAATCACGCAGGCACAACGCCTGGGCATCCGAGTACACTCCTGCAATAGTGCGTGGGTTAAATTAGAGTCCAAATATATTGTGTGCTGAAATATGACGAGGGATTACGCGGCCTTTTTTACATCTGTACATACGTATGGGCGCAGTTCCGTGCCACGATGCATGATTGGTAGAAAACAATCACTCTGAAATTTTCAGCCAACCAGACGCAATTTTTGACAGATAAGTGGATAAAATCAAGTAGCTCGGAACTGTTTTCAGCCTATCAATATTTCCACTTTTTTAATTCATTTTCCATCAACACGAATTTCGACATGATTCTAAGTTCTACGAACTGCATCAATTCTCCTCTTTAAGAAACACTATTATAATAGCAATTTGGAGTAAAGGAACCCCTCCATCGAAGGGTCCCAAAAAGTGTCACGGAACTGCGCCCATACGTATACACATACACCAATGATATATCCTTACCGGCGCTTTGAATTCCATTGGGACTGTTAAACGCGGCGCGAATGACCTTCAGCATACCCGTGGGTACGCAAATCGGCGTGGCCGCGCTCGGGCTCAGAAACTTGTCATAGATTTTCCGGAGGACCTTGTCCGTGTACTGCGACGACGGCAGGGTCCGGAGGTGCTGCGCGTCGGCCCAAAACAGTAGCCGCTGGGGAGCGTACGGAATCTTGTCGGCGAATTGGATCATGAGCTTGTGTGTCACGGGTTCGGCCAGCACGTCCACCGTGAACGCCATCGACAGATTCGTGTGCAAGTCGGAGCAAATGGATTGGCGCCGGTACTTGGCAGGGTTGGATAAACTCGTGCGCAGGGCCTGCCACGTCACACAACCATAGCCACGTCACACAATCATCCCACGATGATGACACGACGGACGTACGCTTTCCGTGGCGGCTTTGACGAGTTTGCGCTCGCCGTTGGGCTGGGTGTACTTGATTTCCACGAGCGCATTTCCTGCCTGGATGTGCTTCTTGTCTTTAGTTGCTTGGTGCTCGGCCAGAGGTGTCATGGGGGCTGACACGGGGGGGGAGTATGTGATCGGCAACGTCGGCGTCGAGTCGAAAGGGCGAACGCAGTCTGGGGGCACGGAATTTATCCTGTGGAGTTTTTTTGCAGTCGGCTCGGGCACCGCGTACGCTTGGCCAGCCTACCCCCCATAGTGTTGTGAGTGTCATATGAGTATGGACATCACGACGACTGAACCTTTTGTCGATATCGATTCAAGTTCAACGACCGTTCGCTGCTCATGTGCTGAGAGGGTGCATAGTCCTAGTCGTTGTCAAGTTAGGGCAAAGCGTAGTTAGTAACCCGTACGTCAGAGTGCACAGCGGCAAAGGACGTCGTAGCCCGGGTAAAGATGCCCCCCATGGCCCACACTGTGTCTGTCGGTTGCACAAAACGCACGTCGTAAAGTACTACTCGGTGCGTGAGCAAGTGGGCTATTCTTAGAGTACGAAACTCCACCGTGGGAATAAATAATAGTATATTAACAGTTGTGTCGTCCCAAGTTACGAGTAAAAACTAGTTTGTTTAGTCGAATGCCAACGACCGTTCGCGGTGGTGCTGGGCACAGTACCCGTCACATTGTACTTTAGCCAGGCGGTTGCAATAACTCAACGTGCACACTTTGCCGCGGCGGTGCACTTCGCAGAACCCGCCCCCTCGATCCGCTCGGACACACTCGTCCACCAGACACCGAGACTTGCCGCCATGTTGCGCGCACGTCGACCCTCTCTGGGCCCCCCGCGGGCAACCCTCGACGCTGCACCGCTTACCGCCTCCATGCCGCCGACAGAATCCACCGCCCTGGCTGCTCTTGTTGCACCCCTCAAACTTGCACCGGACTCCACCCCCGTGGGCTTTGCACAGCCCTTGGGACTGGGTGGCCTTGTTGCAGTCTGGGATCCGACACCGCTTGCCTCCGCCGTGGCCAATGCACAAGCTGCCACCCTGGACGCCTTTGGCGCAATGGGCCACTGCACATCGCCTGGCACCCCCGTGCTGTTTGCAGTACCCTCGATGCTTGACAGTCTCGTGGCAGTGTACGTCCAAGCACTCTCCCTTGACTTCGATGGACTGGGGCTGGCGACGGTCGCCTTCGACATGCTCCGGTGTATGGGTCGACGCGGCCGAGCTGGTGGCGGGCGACAGCATCGCATGTTCGTGTGTGACTTCGAACGACGTCACATGGTCATGAGGAAGAATCGACAGCGGTGGCAACGAATGCTCGATGGGATTCAGCATATCTGAAATGGACGGGAGCCGACGAGAGGCCTGTGAAGGACGATACTGCTGATGGTGATGATTGTGGATGTCGTCAATGGGGTCATCGCGCTGGATGTATGGAGTCGGCAGTGGAAACACTGGCGTGGATGATGGTAGCCACGCATGGAGAGGCGGCAACATGTCCTGATCAAGGTACTGATGATGTGTGCGAGACATGGGAAATGTCGAAATGGCAATCACTGAGACAGCTGGGCCGCCGACGAATCGGGAAAATGCACCGACTAGGGGGGACATAGCATCCCACTCGTCAACAGCTGGACAGTTGAAGGGAGAGCCGAATTATGTCCACAGCTGGTCGGAGCATGTTCCCTCATTACATAGTATTGTACTACAACTTTGTTTACGTCAAATTAGCCTATTTCGCAGCTTACAATTTTGCAGTGTGACGGCAACGACCGAGGTATTTGGAGGACATTGTGAACTTGGCACTGTAAAGATGCCACTGAGTAAGAACTTTTGCATTTGGATGGATTAGTAGGTCGCGTTTGTTACCTAGGTCGAATAAGTGTTCAAACACCCAAACTTTAGGTACTGTGTACTGGTAGGTAGTACAGGAGACGATTGATAGACTTACCAACTTACCGCCCCCATGCTATATTGACGTGGGGGGGGTCATTCTGACATAGTCGAGGCGCCATGGCTTGGCAATTTCGTCCATGACTCACAGGTTCACGCTAATTGGCGTGATGTACATCACCATACATTTGTGTGTAACAAGGTGGCCACGCAAACCCGCCTGTCCGTGCACCTGCTGGCTAGACGCCCACACCCGGCTCTACCGTAAAGTACCACTGTCCCGGACACGACGACAAACGTACCTCTTAGTGGGATGGTTGGTTCCAAGAAGGGTCCCAAGCAAGGGGTTGACAATAGTTTGCTGGCATCTTCGTCGTGCCAGGGGTATTCCCATCCTCTATCTCAATATGGCTGTACGTAGTTGTCAACCTTCCAACTTTAATCATCAATCCGACACGTGCAAATGAATCAGCACTTCAAGTACTAGTATCGGTCCAGTACTGATATTCCCTACATAATCTAGTTGTTTGTACCCCATCTTCTGGACACAAACAACAACACACCATTTTAACACAAGTGCAACGTAGCGGTTTTTGTATCTAAGGTTTGGGTGCAATGTGTTCATTTCCCCTTGGTGGGTTGGTATGGTTGTTGTATGGTGGGATGTTGCGGAACGTTGAAAATTCCGAAGTCGGTATGGAATTGGGATAGCGAAGTATAGTAGTACTACTGTACAGGTGTTGCATATCAGGCTGCCGGGGACTAGTACTGTACTGACTGGTAACTATCATACCGTGAGGCTCTAGTGTACTAGTATAGAGGACGAAGTATATAGACAATATATAGATTGGCTATGAGGAGGGGGTTGAGCGGCAACCACATAACGGGAAGCATAACTTTCTGCCAGTCCTGGGACACTACTGATGCAAGATGTGAGTTGTGATAGCGTGCCACCTGTGGCAAGTTCGGCCTCATACAGAGTGGCATCGTCGAAAGATGCGGACCAATGAAACAGAACGTACGGTAGATACACTTTGCAGTCAACCGTCTACAAGTATTATATGTACTGTACTTCGAAGTACTAACATTAGTACAATACTGGTATTAATACCGGTAGTAACGTTACTCGGATGTACTAGTACTAGTATGAATAATACTACCGGTATAAATAGTACGTATTTGCATTTGTTCTGTGTGTACTTACGTTTATAGTATTTATGTTGTACAGCGCCGTCGTGAGTTTGCAATGAATGACGACCGCTTGCTAATACCGGTAGTATCAACCGCTTTGCGCACACTCAGCTTGCAATCGAATTGCGGGAAGTAAGTAAGATTAGTAAAGTCATGTGACCAGAATACTCATCTGGCTGTAACTACTACTAGTACTAGTAGTATGTGTGCAGAGCCAGGGTCGTGGGGTTGTGTCCTAGCACCGCCTATTGCACCAGCTGTGCAATGTCGATGTATAGGCATTTAACTGCAAGTCTGCAGATAACTCGTCCAGATTAACGCCTTCACATATCTCCCTCAGCTCTTTCCAAATGACGAGCCAGAATTTCCAAATACAATAACTTTACCCTCGTGAAATGCATGAAGTACACCGTGCTGGGAGTTACCGGTATTGTCAGGTCGATTCGAAATTGGAGTTGGGTGCTCAATCGAATGAGCAGTACCATATCGGCAGACAATGGATCGACTAAAAATCAAAACGCAGAACACGAATCAGTGGCCAATCAAATCCACACTTCGACGAATTCAACATCGAATTAGTGTGTTATTGAAATTAGTGTGACATCGGACGAGTTAAGGCCGTGTTCCGACGCACCAAGAATCCGATTGTAGCATGATCATAGACGAAGATGTATATGCAGTAGCTGCATATCGTATAACTTTACTGGCAAGATTTCCACTTCACCATTCAAGGTCCATTCGATGGTGCAGCGACTTCGTAGCGGGTTTTTGACGAACACATTGAGTTGTGCAAGGAGAGATACAAGTAACTTGGTACCAACTTCTACAAGGATGAGATACAAGTAACTGCGTGTCTAAATTTACGTAGCTTTTGTCAGTTGCATACACATCAGTCGTTGACTCAGCGAGTGCGGAGCCCATTCTGCGCTGCAGGAATATAATTCATCTCCCTCCCACGAAGATGTACGGTCTCAACTGGTTAAATAGTTGGCTAAGAAGCACCATGTGATGGACCACTTGATCACATGTGGTCACAGCTGCGACGTTCCTTTCGTCACTGTAAGTACACTGTACTCGGAGAATAAATATAACACCCCGAAACCCCAGAAACCCCAAACTCCGAGTCATGGAAATGGAATATATAATTCAAGCAAAAATACAAGCGTCAAGAACGGAACCCAGCGGTCACAGTCCACTAATTTGTTTGCCAATCAGAGGCCTAAAAGTTTACCAACTGTTCCCGCTTGCAATCGTTACATAACTGTAGTACGTAGTAGTATTTCTGAAAGCAGAATACCAATCAATCCCTCCAAGAAACCAGCAAAATCGATGGTTTCCAGAATCCGGATTCTTGCACAAGAATCCGGTTTTTAGTTTTGTCAATCGAAGACAAAAAACCGGATTCCAGAGTCTGAATCCACGAAATAACCGGATTTTCGAAGTACAAAAGTTAGTGCAAAGAATCGATCGATGTTTGGCAAATCAGCACAAAAAAGTCCTAATTCTAGGTAAGTGCACATGGCGTAGTTGGATTCGAACAGGGCTCAGAGTCTGGCAACGTCTGATACCAGGCTGCATTTTCAGTCTACACAATACAACCCCAACGATCTTGTTTCGGGGTTTATGTGGCTGGGAGAGTGCAAGCATTTTTCCCTCGCGTGTGCCTGAATTCATAACCCCTTGATTTTGATTGGTCAATATATGAAACGACGACTGATCTCTGGTAATTGATTCGTTGGTGGTGCGTTTGTCTGTACGAGTTATGAATAATCCCGCACAATGTTTGATTGGACACGAGAACGCGCTCACCACAATCATTCAACTCCTCGTTTTACTACTATTAATAACGTTAGCTAGTAAGTCGACGGATCTCACACACAGAGAGTGACTATCACTCAATGAAAAATACTGTCGTTGAGGTCCGGTTCTCAATGGATTCAACTCGATTTTTCAATCATACTGTACCACCCAACACGCAATCCTGTTGAAGACGGATTTACGACCTTCCACGACACATAGGACTACAGTATGTTGTTTGTTACAAATTAATAGTGTATCTACATGACCTACGACGCAGCCCCGGATTGTCCCTGGCGTACAGACTTGGTCAATGGCACCACGTGCTTGAAATACGCGAGTTCGACTTCCCCGATCAGTTGTCGAATCGCATACGTTTCGTCCAACACAACCCACGACCCAATCAGTTGCTAAAGTACATCAGATTATATAAATGTATAATACTTTGGGTTATATATAAACTTTCAAAGGGGCCACACATACCATAAACAACGGGGACTCTAAAAAATCGTGCACCTCGGTGGTGCGCAATATGGACACGACGTCTTGAATCGCGTCGGAAAAATACCTCTTGCCAGCCTTGTCGACGTTTTCCACCATGTCGTCATGTAAATGAGCGGCGATGGGAATCGGTGACCGCGCCGTGTTGATGTTGATGTACTTGTCTAGGATTTTCTTGGCACTTCGGACCACAATTTCATACGACGGCAGCCTTCGAAACTCTTCCACCTGCCACCACAACACCAGCGTCATGACTTATATATGCATCATCGGTACCAATATATATATATATATTTACTTCTTCGAGAAAAATGAGGTTTTCTGCCGCGTGCTGAGTCTTGAGGTACTTTCGAAAGTTGGTCAAGTACGTAGGGTTGGACAAAATCGATTCCAGTTGCGGGAGGTCGACCTTGCCCTTGTCCACAGCACTCATCAAGTTGCGGACGAGGTCGGGGAATTCTTGTTTCATCTCGGAATGAATTGGTGACTTCAAGTACCGCACCAACGAGTCTTGCAGGAGTCCTGGAGTACAACATATAGATGTCTCGTTCAACTACTAGTCCTTTGTGTATGTCGTGAATAACGAATACTAGTATGGTCCAATCGATTCGAAACTGTAGCCGTCAGCAGCAGAATCGAATGTCTTACGAGAATAATTGATTGAAGAACCTCCTAAGCCAATCAAAAAATCACATTCTGATACATTTCTGCCAATCCAAACGTTTGAATCGGTCGCCCCCTCCGCAAAACCACACATATACTACTGTAGTATATATAAATATATACTACTCTTTGTATCATATACTGTATTTGGTGCGAAATGCCTCTCAAGTCATTTCCAAAATTTGGGTGCCATGGACAATATACCTGTTTTGACCTTGACAATCGCCGACTTGAACATGTCAATCGACGGTGTGTTGAGCTTGGCTTGAATGTCCTGGCGCATTTTGGTGCTCATGTCCACTTGCAATTTCGCGTGCTCGCTCAAGTACTTCTTAAACAGCTTCTTCGCCGTGTGCTGCATGAACTCAATGCCGGGCAAGTTGATAAACTCGTCCACCTAGATATCATCATCATCGAGATATCATGTATGAAAAATCATATCCACCCTTCCATCGGATGATTCTTTGTTCTTTTTCTTATAGCCACGAAACGAACCTACCTCGTCCACAAACACGACAAAGTGATCTTTCATCCGACTGGCGAGGAACTTTTTGAAAATCCGGTGCGCGATCTTGTCGTGCAGAAGCAGCAGCAACGTGTCGCGGTGGATCTTGTGTGCCAGCGCCACATTGGCCAACTGGTCCATTGGCAACGTCAGCGCTTTCGCGAGGATGCTACGGTACATGTTGGTTGTCATGACCATCATAAGTTTCGCATAGTTTGCAAGGTACTGTAGTGACAATATTAAAAGTATGAAAATATAAAGAAGAGTTACGCACTCGGCAGGGTCCATCTTGTCCAGCTTGGCGAGCACCGCCGTCATGTCGGCTGCCGACACATTCGGAACGTAATTGTCCCAGTGACGAGGGGTCAACGCGCTTTCGTGGATGCGGGCCACGTACGGTGGGTAAACCCTGCCAAAATAAGTATATACATGAGTCTTTACAAGTTCATATTGAAACCTGACAGCACCAACCAAAAATAATACCATCGAGTCAACACAGCTTGACTGGCATAACAAAAAGAAGAAAAGTGATCGACTATTTTAGCCAATCAAAAGTCTACATTTTTCTCAACGGGCAACGATATCGCATCTTACGAAAAGTCGTGCCACAGCTCCGTGCGAACGTAATCCAACACAAAGTACTGGACGTCGGTGAATGCGACAGAGTCCAACTGGTCGGCGTCCACTTTTGCGGCAAATGCCTCGTGGATGTGCGGCGGCAAGGCCACAAACTTTTTTGCGTTCGGTTTTAAATACGTCTCGTATACTTTTCGTGCCGATGCGTGGACATAGGACTGGTTGGGCAACCGTTTCGCCTCTTCCACTTCCATGTGAAAGAGCAAGTTTTCTAGCCACGAACAACTTCAAGTTGGGAAGCATCAACGTATATTGTCAAGTCGGTTCGAAATTGGAGTGGGTGCTGGCTGAATCGAATGAGCAGAAAAACCAAATCGGCAGACAGTCGATCAACCAATCAAAACCCAGAACACTAATCAAGTGGCCAATCAAATAATCTACTCTTCGACCACTTCAACATTGAATTAGTATGTGAATGAAATTCGTGTGACGGTTAGATACAACAAAGGATCGATCGATAGATTTGGCGAATCAGCACAAAAGCCCAAACTTTGGGAAAAGGCCAATACCCAAGGTCATGTTTTCAACGCAGTAGCTTTTGAGAAATCGCAACTTGGTGTCGTCAGTGAGTACGGCATGAAACGAGTACGGGTTGTCGGATCGCGGGTTGGTGGATCTACTTCAATACACATGTCAGACTGTTCGTTTTTCGAGTAACGTTAGCATGATACAGTACGAAAAGCAGTGTTTGGAAATGAAATGGATTGAAATTATATATATATATGGATTGAAATTATATACATATATATATGGATTGAAATTATATACATATATATGGATTGAAATTATATATATATATGGATTGAAATTATATATATATATGGATTGAAATTATATATATATATATATATGGATTGAAATTATATATATATATATGGATTGAAATTATATATATATATATATGGATTGAAATTATATATATATATATTATTTCAATCCATATCATTTCCAAACACCGCTTTATATATATCTACAATATATACATATATATTGTACAGAGATAATCGATACAGTCGTACTCGGTCGCGTGGCCTGTCTCAGACCTTGCTTCGCACAGCGCCTTCATCTTGTCAAACAACTTGTGCTTTTCAAAGCGCGGAAATACGTCCTTTTCCAGATCTTTCAAGCACAACGCTTGGGCTTCGAGGTACACCCCTGTCCATCCCCCCAATCAACCAATCAACCCCCTATTGCCCCTATAGATGAATCCTCTTGGGTAAGTACCTGCCGACTGAATGCCCCCCGGTCGGTCAAACTCGTCTTGGATGCCCCGGATCATGTCGGTGGGGACGCATATCGGCGTGGCCGCGTGCGGACTAAGGAACTTTTCGTAGATCTTGCGCAGCATCTTGTCTGTGTATTGCGCGCTTGGCAGCGTCCGGAGGTGCTGCACGTCGGCCCAAAACATGAGGCGCTCTGCCGCGTGCGGGATGGAGCTGCAGAATTCTGTCATCATTTTCAGCGTCACCGGGTCCAGGAGGACATCCGTGCTGAACTCGACAAACGCGGAGTCGATCACACTTTCTTGCACAATCGACGCGCGTCGAAACTTGGTTGGGTCGTGCAGGTGGGCACTCTAACAACATAAACAAACGACGTTGGAAACAACCGAAGTTTTCATAGCATGTTTACCTTCATCGTGTGCAAGCGGCGCCTTTCGTCGTGGATGGCACTGGAGAGCTCCGTCTCGCTCAGGACGACTCGGGGGACGACAGCTTGAGCAGGTTTGGCCGCAGGCGGAGGCGTGTGCAGCCGACATTCTGCCGGCATTGTCGCCCCCAGCTCCTTGGGGGTGGCAGCACCGGTCGACAAGAGGCCCATGCTGCGGCTGCTGTTGCGCGATGCTATCGGCAACTCGTGCACGTAATCGTGGTGCTCTTCGTGGCTGTCTTCGTCGTGGTGCTGGATGGGGTGTACATACAGTATCGAGTTGATTTTTATCGATTTGTTTCGAATGTCGTTTTCAAAGTGCACCTACCTCGTGTTGGATGAGCTTGGCCTTGATCAAGTCAAACAGATCGTGGTCGTCCAAGTTGCTCTCCAGCCCTTTCAAGTACGCGTCATGCACGACATGGAACGCTGCTTCGTCGTGCATTGCCGACGACGCCCCGCTGCCCATCGCTCTCAATGTGCTACCTACCCCACTGTGAAACGACGCACGGCTGTTTGTCATGAATTTTTGAAACGGTTACAACTGCGACACGAAACGGCCGGAGGCGCCAAGTGGAAACTGAGCCCAACCAACCATTTGGGCGACATCGTCGAACTAGTGTACTGCTGCGATGTGATGATGGTGTCACTTAGTTTCGACATACTCTTGAGCATATATGCCTTAATGGACAGAGAGGTTGGAATAACTGTCCTGGTAGCACAATATATATATATATACTCAGTACTCCCATGTACAGATTTGAAGGATCCTTTACTTCAACTTCGCCATTAGAATCGTCGAAAGCAACTTGTGAGTCGGGGAAGGCACGGAGTTCCGACACGTCAGTCAGTGTGGTTGGATAAATCGACCGTCATAGTTCCGATCTCATTGTGCTACCGCTTACCATATAATAGCGTCGGCATGCAACCTAGTTTTTCTCACCTACGGTACTAGTATATTACTCCGAGTACTTCGAAGGAATACTAGTACTGAGTAGTACACTAATGGAGCCTAAAACACTACCGTTGTGTATATGCCGTACATTTATAATACCCCAACGAGTGAAATATATCCAACTAGTATGTAGTATTGATTGGGGATGGTGCTCTATATTTTAATTAAAACTGTTTGTGTGTGTGTCGTCGTCTATCGATCGGCGTTCTTACGCAAACAGCGCGTGCAGCGCGGCTTGCTGGGCGGCACTCATAGACTGCCACACCGACTTCATCACGTGATCCGGCACCATCGTCCGCAGCGCATGAAGCGCCGCCTGCATGTCCTTGGCCACGGGCTGGTCGGGTTCAAACAGCTGCAGACTCAGCACCTCCGCAAGCAGACTGAGCACCCGCGGCACGTTGCTCGGGTCCTCCGACAGCACCTTGTGGGACGCCAGCACGGCCGCGCACACCCGCTGGATCAGCGCCGCACTCTCTTCGACGTCCCCTCGCAGCGGCAGCAGGGCCAGCCACTGCGTGAATAACGTGGACGGCAAACTGTCAAAGTGGAGCAGGATGCTGCCCAAAGCCGACACGGCGTTGTCGGTGGCGTTGACCATGAACGGCTCCCAAGCGTCGGCACTGTGTACGAGCGTCCATAGCAACTCCACCGTCGGATTTACATATGGAGCAAACGCTGCGCCTCCAAGACGAGCGCTCAGGCTGAGCCCGTACGATGCTGCCTGTCGTAATGGCGGGTACTCGCTCGCCACGCAATTCTACAAATATTTATATATATATATATATGTAGAATGGACAAAAGAGGTTGTATATATATATATGATGGTTGGTGTTGATGGATGTACCAGCAGAAGCGGGACAAACGTGCCAAGGTGGCCTCGCGCAGGTTCGCAGTGCTCGAGCACGTCGTCCACCAAGTACACGGCCAGTTTCCGATCTTCGGGAAGGCAGTGCGGTTGCACCATCTATTGACATATCAAGTCATTCCAACCATTTCACGAGTGTGTGAAACGAAATCGCATATTAATATACATGTTTATAATGTTGCCTTTATACTAAAAAATGAAATATATAAAAAAACTTTAAAATATGCAACCATTTTAAACTCATGTATATATTTTTTACGACGTGACACAAAACCGATAGATACTCAAAAATTGATATATATACTCTTCACAGTATTCATATTGTGAATACGTCAAAGTATATATATCCTATTCACATTCAAACATGATACAATCAATGCTGCAATCGTGAAGGCATAAGCATAACAATTCATACAGCATTGTCCAATGTGATTTATGCGATTCTGCATTCATATACATCATATTCCAAAGTGCTAGCTAGATATAACATATGCATACTCAAAAACAATATATATATATATATATATATAGATCACATTTTAAACGAATATATAGATAGTCGTGAAGACAATAGATATTTCTCGTCCACCTACCTCGAGCACTTTGTCCAGCAGCGTGTCTTGAAATACAGGAAAAAACCGCGACGGGTGTGTCTCGGCCAAATTGCCCAAGCAGTCGGCCAGAATAAATTGCAGCTGCGCTTCCGTCGCGTCGTTGTCGAGGTCCTCTTCGTTCTCTTCGTCGTCAAACTCTTCGATGGCTTTGCGGGCGCGGCGCACTGCACGTCGTTGAAAGCTCTCGGCAAGCACAATCAGCAGCCCTTCCACCAGCTATTTTAACCCACACAAAACAGGATTCGATCAGATCATATTCCGCATGTATGCATTACACTTGAGGTACTATCATCATGCATGTTGAAAATGAAGAATAATGGTATGAATTATATAAAAATAATGTATTAAATTACTTAATATACTTGTTTTATATATATATATATATATATATATTATATTGACAAATAGTAGAATTTGCTATCACGATCATGTATTCGATGATAGACAACAACGAACATTATGACAACCAAACAGTTATATACCACGTCGTAGCCATACATTCCATTTTGCAAGACCTTGCAAAAAAAATATAAATCCTTCCCAGCACAGTCAACCGAAACAATTATAAAATACAAAATGGTTTTCAACATTATTTAAAATAAAATAAGTAATAATAAATCACCCAGTACAAGACAACGTGGTCGATCAATCATAATAATCACGATACCTGCGACAGCTGGGCGTGGTTGAGAAGTTCGACAACATTAGTAGCTGCCGTCACTGGCGGGGGCGGCGATTCGCCGTCATGTTGCGGGTGCACGGCGTGGGAGATGCACATTTTGATGCTTTGCATGATGGTCATCTGGAGGTCGAGTTCGGGTTCTGTCGAAAGCGCATTGAGCAGGCGGCCGAGGGTAAACTCGAGCATCTGTACGACGGGGCTGAGGGTGTCTAGCGGACCTTGCTGCAGCAGGTGCTTTGACACGGACAGCACGAGCCACGGCATGGCCGAGATGGACGCGGCGCGGATCTCCGTGTGCACCGAGTCCGTCATGAGAGGCGTGAGCACCTGCGTCACCTGCTCCACATATGGAAAAAACGACTCTTTCAGGTCCGCCACCATGCTGCTGAGCATCTGGCACGCGGTGGCCTTCTCTTCGAGGATGGACGTGCGAATGCTCACGCATTTGTCGTTGATGTGCGCAATCTGAACGTCGTCGTCGTCGTCGTCGTCGTCTTCCATGTCGTCCTGGTCGTCCATTTCAAACTCGGCTTGTTGCTACAACAGACATGATGAAAAAATGTAGTGTCGTGAATGTACGAGATGGCGTGTTGAGTTCATATATATATATATAGCAACCTTCATCCAGCCTGTATATATATATATATAGGCTGGATGAAGGTTGCTTGTTTGATATATGGGCGGTAGTTTGGATATGAAAGTGATAGATATATATGCATTATATATATATCATTTGTCGTATTCAATATATGTAATGACCACTTGTATGAATGAAAGCATACATGTTGTACATATATATATATATATATATATATAGAATTTATACTGGATTCAGGTTGATTGTTCGATATAGACTGGATTATTGGGTTGTTGTTTGGATCAGGTAATGATCGATATATATATCATTACCTTACTCAAATAGCAACCCAATATATACAATGACCACTTGTATGAATGATATAAATATATGTTGTATATGTCTTGGTGTCAAATAATATATTTTGGGACTAGTTTTGACTGGAATGACGTGGAGAGACACGAGTATTATTTCATTTGATTCGTACAAGTGGGTCCTATTTTCATTTAAACAACAACCTTTTTTCCAGTCTATATCAATCAACAACCTGAATCCAGTCTATATATATATATATATATATATATATACACGTATAGCACGTTCAGAGTCCGCTGTAGACTAAATGTCCAGCCATATCACACGGTAAAAAAGCACAAAACAGGACAATCAAATATGTGTTATATACATTGAGACCCATTCAGTATGTACTACTACATACCATGGCGGCATCGAGCAGGCTTGGCATCACAACAGGCAAGTAATTGGCAAAGTGATGTGTCAGAGTCTTACACCATCGCGCCCACGCTTGCAACAAGTAGGACCGCAAGATCTCATCGTTGGCGTACTGCGAAGAGTGCTGCATCTGGGTCATCACGTCGAGAATTTCTGCGGCGTCACCGCCAAACACCGCCGGACCAACTGCTAGACCGACCTAAACATCAAATAAGTCTTATATTAGCCGTTCATTTATGTATTTATTTGTCTTATCCAATTCGAAATCCATACACAACATATCGTACTTATGATACTGGAAGTAGCGCACTAGACATGTCTGCTTCACAAATATATATAAAATTAATGACATTGAAATGGAAATAATACTTTATATGGTCAATAATACCGTGTTTGCCATACGTAATTTAAACGAAAAAAAATTATAATCTCACGTTGCACATTCGACGACATGGAACGAATCAATATCAAGTATATATATATATATATATAATTAAAGTCACTATTGCACATAGTTGAAATGGATAAAATTATGGTATATAATATTCCAATACTGGATATAATTTTTCATA